GAAGCTCTTTGGGATGGATGAGCAGAATTTTTAACCCAGTCTTTTTTAACAGTTGGAGCAGAAGCTATGGGTAACACCCTGGTGAGAGAAGTTAGACCATGCGTGCCTGCATAATTTCTCCTGTGAAATAAAGATTGAAGAAGACCCAGAGGAGAGTGGAAGTATAACACAATTCCAGAATGACAAAAGCAGGAAACTTTTCAAATAAAACTTATTGCTCTGGTTAATATGATACTGCCTGTTGGTATGCTAAGGCAACACTTAATTGTTATCCTGTGATTAAGCAAAACCAGTTAGAATTATCTTCATCTGGCTGGCTACTCTGCTTAGCAAGACTGTGCTCTGCTTCTAGCCGCTCAGGGCAGGCAGGGAAGGGCCAGGGTCTGGTCCCAGCTGGTGACTGGTGAGCACTGGGCATTGCTTGTGTCGGGATGGCTTCCTCCGAGCTGCCGAATGAAATCTGTGAGCACAGTGAGCTGGTCATTTAGTCTGCATCAGGATCCTAGTGCAGAAGTGAAACTTGTAGCATCTCCAGTTACATTTCCTAAAGCGATGTGCCTCCCAGTATCATTCTTGGTTCCAGTTCTGGACTTAAAGCAATAGCGAGTTGTGCTGCTTTATGTGTCAGGTAAGCGATGTGTATTGTCAAGTGTACGTGCTTGTCCACATATCTATCTGTGTGCTGTGCATATAAAACAGAAATAACATTTTGTTCGTACATGATTATTTTTTAATTGATTGCAGAGGTGCAGTAAGATTCATGCTCCAGAATAACAACATCTTGGATATATGCAAACTAGTTTGAGAATCCTGAGTTGAACGTTTAGAGCCCACAAGTTGTGCTACAAAGTAAAGTAAGGCGTGATCAAACTAAGAAAGAAATGTAATGCACTGTGTTCCATCTGCATAAAAGCTGTGGCTTTTCACCCAAACGGCTTGAGGCTAGCAGAGTTGTGTTCCTCGTAGTGCTATTCACTGATGTTACAGTGGGAAGTCCTTTGGATTACAACTTTTGCAGCCATAATTTATTTTTTAATGACACATCACTATCTCTGTCAGATAAACGTAACAGACACTATAATCTACTAAATTTAGTGGCTACTCTTCTCTATAATTCTGTTCTGTCTGTGAAATTCTGATGGAATCAGCTTACCAAGCTTGAAAACAGGGTATGATGCAGCTAGTACTTTGTTTTAAAACATACTCAGAGACTATGTAAGAGACTACTTTATTTTTCTTTTGCCCACGTGTTACAATTTCCTGAAGTACAGGACAAAGACCCACTCATTTACAGCTATTTACTGTAATAAATACAGTAAACTAATGCTTTGATGCATTGCAGAGAACTCTCTCTCCATACATCCTAAGTAGGTCTTTGGTGTTGGTGTGCTTCAGTATGACTATAAAGCCAAATGCAATATCTCTCTCTAATAAAATCAGGTTTATTACAGTGTAATTTCCTTCTAAAAACAAGTCTCCTTTTAAGGACTTTTATCTAAAATAACTAATGAATGTAATGTCATTAAATAATAAAATACTGTTATGATGCCAAAAATAACTTCTTGGTCTCTTTGATCTTCGTTTTGGCTAAAGATATAAAATTCCACTAGAGACTCTTGTAAATAGACTCCATTAATCTAAACAAATTGTTTTGAAAAAGCAACTATAATAGATGTTGATTAAGACAGTGAATAACCTTGAGTTTTAATTTTCAATACAGCTTGAATTAACTCCACATTAATTGGAGTCACGCTTCTAAGTCATGTTGTACCGCTCCGAAATCTGTGTGTGGCTACTTCTGTTTGTCTTGGCTTTAATTAATCATTCTCTTATTTCTTGGCAGCAGCTGTTACTGGGCAGGGAAATACAATTCCAGGTGTAGTCTTGAGTCTTTACGGCTTCTGCCTGCCTTCTGCCTGCTGTGGCTCTGCAGCACAGGTGGTCCTAGCAGCACGGAGTATGGGAGCAGATGAAACGCAGATATATGTCTGTAGTATTTCCAACCGGCATGCTGATAGGGACTTTCACTAGTAGTCTCTAAGCCTTTCTTCTGTCGCTGAAAAGGTTCAAATTTCAATTTTTCTACGTCTGCATTGTTTAATAACATTCAGTGCACGTGTAGTGTAAGTTGTTGTGTGTTTGCACGCTGCTTAATTTTTTGTTTTGCCATAAAGCTTTACATGACAAGAAGGATCCCATTTAAAGAGATGCAGACATATGTTATTTATGTTTAGAAAAAGAAATACATCTGGTTCTGACAACACATCATTATTTTATGCGCTTCTAAAGAATGCACCAGTTGATACAATTATCTCGATTAAGAGTGTCAGTGGAGTTCATAAAGAGAAGTGCCCTGAGAACTGCAGCGTCTATGTGACTTGGCCCTTGGTGCACTTTGGGGACCTCATTTCTGATTGCCTTGTTCTTTCAAAGTTCCCTTATGGGGCAAGGGAACAATTAACTCCCGTAAAGTGGAAGCCCAGGAGCAGCTGAGTCCACTAATGACGGGCAGTATGGATTTGTGCTGTGCCATACATGAATTTCTCCCGAGGGATAGTCCCTCGGTATTACCCCACCACGTCCTGTGCTGTTAAGTGGTGCCACTCCTCATGGTACGCAGTGCCTGCGTGCACTCAATCTTACCTTGCTGAAAGATTGCTCTGGGGCAAATCTTGTACCTTGTGGATGTAAGCAGTCTGTTCCAGCTAGTCCAGAGGAGCACAGGCTGAAACGGGGCTGTGTTGCTTGATCAATTCCCCACAACGTAGTCTGCAAAGAAAGTAAAGATTTTGCCAGCCATGATGGGAAGCCTTGGGCTGACTCCCAGGTCTTCCTGTAAGCTGGGTCACCAAATTACAGTTGAAAAATAACTGATGTTTTCTAGTTTGATGGTGTTTATCCTTTTTTGCCTGTTTTCCTTGTTGTTCCTGTTTTTGAATGCTACCTTAATGGTCAAGCATATGGAGACCAAATTAGCAATTCAGTGTGTGTGACTGGCAGTGGGGATGGAGAGTGAACTTGGTTGTTGGAGCGCTCAACTTGTTCTTTATTGCGTATTTCTCATCTGAATTCAATTTCTGCAGTGGGAGGATAGCGGTAAGAAGGTTTCAGTGCCAACAGGTTGAATAGCAGTGAAGAACAGGAGATGGCTGAAAAGCCAAAGGCGGAGGAGTCAGTGCCCATGTAAGGGATGGTTTGGTGGTTTGGAATGTGCACGTTAACCCCAGGTTGTAACCTGCCAAGGGAAAGTAAAAAAGCATCCGTAGGAGGAGGTAAGAAATTTCCTAGCAACGTCAAAATAAATGCTGAAGGCAGCGTTTATCGGTATGAATATTGCAGCTGCGTTGTTCAGAACATCCTTGTGGTACCCGAGATGTGCGTGAACAGGGCTTGATGCCAGCGTGGCAGTAACGGGGCGGGCGGGGGGGGAGGAGGGAGATGGCGTCTTGTATTTTTACAGGAGATCTTCTGGGGGATTTGTTTCGTTTTAGTTTAAGGGTTTGTAAGGCTCCCTCTGTAGGTGTCAAAGGAGGAGCCGCTTCTCCAAAGGTTGATTTAGAACGGCTAACTCTGCTATCTGTCTGGATCTCCCTTTGGAGGAACTCGTCAGAGGAGTTTTTCTCTTTGCGTTAGGTATAGAGAGCCTGTGGCGATGGCCACCTCACATTGCTGGGCTTTTGTGACTATTCCCCTAACTGTGTGTGGGAAATTCCAATAAATGCTCAGTGAAAAGTAATGTAAATATTTTATTCCTCAGTCTCTGAGAGAAAGAAGCTTGTGGTGTTCATACCGCTGCAGTATTGAAGATCATAATGCAGACAGTTTTGAGTTCTGTCCCTACCCTGACTCTGTTAAGTACAACTTTCAGATATTTTAATCTGTTTTTTTGACACCTGTGTACAACTTCCAGTTATTAACATTTATTTAAGTGTGTGTGCAGTGGGGAATTATTAGATTCCACATCTCATCTAAGGGCTTGCTCTTAATAAATTGCTCTCTTCTGATGGTCCCTGAGAGCTTTAAGGAGGGATGCAGTTGCACTTGGTATCTAGAAACAATACATTTTTAAAAAATAACTAGCTATTACTGTAATGGTCATTGCAGGAAACAAATGAAATTAATTTAGCTACTCTGTGCCAGAGTTCCTCTGAATTTTGCTGGAATTAAAGGGTTGTGTCTGGCTTTTTTTTGAATACGTTGTTAGTCAAGATGACGATGTGTTTATGGTACTACAGCAGCATAGAAATTTGCGGCACTATATGAAGACATTTTTATTTCAGGTCTAATCATAGGCAATCTAAACATAACTTAGTGACTGCGAGAAGCGCGTGTAATGTGGTAAACTGTCAAATATATGGGTTAACTGTCTGTCAATCGCTTATTCTTCTGAGCCACCGCTGCTGCGTTTGTACTACTTATTTTCTTGTTATGAGGAGAGGGTGCATATTTAGTTTATGTGTCTTCTCTAAGCAGTAAAAGAAGCAGGGGTTTTAGCTCTAGCACTGGCACAATTACTATCAACTTTTAAAAAGCTTGGTGCTGAATACAGACTGATGCCTGACGCTACCGCGCTGGTGCCAAGGGGCTGACTGGGACACATTGGCTGAAAACCTCCTGTTTAAATTTTTGCGAAGTGTGTACTCGGAGCTTACGGCTGCGTTTGTAGTTGAAGACCGAACTGTTTCTGTGTGACGCTGGTGTTAAAATACAGAGTGTGACTTTCAACGTGAAGGCGCTTGGATGTAATTTGCTTCCACGCTTTCAGCAAATGCAGTGAAATATTGAGCTGTGATATAAGAAACTAACATGAAACTAAACGTTACTAAGTGTTGTGAATCTGGATTATTTTTTTTAATTACATGCTACTCTTAAACTGCTCCTTAACTAAATGGTAACTAGGAGTTTAAAAAGCATATTGGGTTACAGTAGTTGGTATTTCATTCTGCTGTGGGTTTTTCCTGACTTTCTGATCTTTTTTTTTTTTTCTTTCTTAGTCTTCATGAAGAAATCATTGACTTTTACAAGTATATGTCTCCCAGACCTGAAGAAGAAAGAATGCGGATGGAAGTGGTGAACAGGATAGAAAACGTTATAAAGGAGCTCTGGCCTAATGCAGATGTGAGTACGACACTGTTCTATTTCTTTATATATAAAAGCAATATTTTGTGCCTGTTTATTTTGTGCCTGTTTACTTTGTGAAGTGTTGAATAATGAAAATACTGATTATTTTTCCATATTAAAAAAAAACTCAGAAGGATTTCTGGTCAAATGAGAGAGATGATTTTTATTTCTAGAATAGTACAGGTCAACATTTTCTGTTACACATAGGAACAAAGACAAGCTAGACCTACTGTAGTCAAAGAAAAGGCATGAGGATTGGCAATATTTAGTCTCATTAGTATTTATTTACTAAGATTAATGGGAACAAACCAGGCATGCATGCATGCGTGTAAAATACTATGTTTTAAAAAACCCCAAACTTCTGAAACTCATGGCTTGACTGAAAATTCTGTAGCAGGTCTTCTAGTCCAAAGACCTGCAGTCTTGAGTAAGTCTGTTAAGGTGGAATGCCAGCAGTGCCACGTTAGGCAGACCATGCTATTTTTAATGGGCAGTTAAACTAAATTGAAATATCCTTCAAATGTAAAGGAACCAGGTTTTTGTACAGGAAGAAACAAGTCTGTAGATTTCTCTCTATGTATCTCTCTACTCTGCTCTTGTGAGACCCCACCTGGAGTGCTGCATCTAGCTCTGGGGGCCCCAGTACAAGAAGGACATTGACCGGTTGGAGCGAGTCCAGAGGAGGCCACAAAGCTGATCAGAGGGCTGGAGCACCTCTCCTATGAGGACAGGCTGAGAGAGTTGGGGTTGTTCAGCCTGGAGAAGAGAAGGCTCCAGGGACACCTTGTAGCAGCCTTCAGTACCTAAAGGGGCCTGCAGGAAAGATGGAGAGGGACAAGGTATAATGGCCTTAAGCTGAAAGAGGGTCGATTTAGATTAGATATTAGGAAGAAATTCTTTACTGTGAGGGTGGTGAGGGCACTGGAACAGGTTTCCCAGAGAAGTTGTGGATGCCCCATCCCTGGAAGTGTTTAAGGCCAGGTTGGATGGGGCTTTGGGCAAGCTGGTCTAGTGGAGGGTGTCCCTGCCCACAGCAGGGGGGTTGGAACTAGATGATCTTTAAGGTCCCTTCCAACCCAACCCATTCTATGATTCTATATATATTAGATACATAATGCCTCTTTCCACCAAAGATAGGTTTTTGCTAGTACTTTATTCAGTGAAAACAAGAGTTTCTCCTGTGCAGAGCTATGCTCTTTTAAGTAACGGTTGAATTAAAGAGAAGCTGGAGAAGTTGGTTTTACAACTCAAGATGGTTTGATGGGGACACGGTTGGATTTTTAGCATAACTGAATCTAGTTTAATTGTATCCCTCTACCGTCATGGTGTTCATTTCCAGAACGCTGATTTGTAACCGTAGTCATCTATCTGTAGATAACAGTAGTTGAAAATAAGGACTTGTTAGCCAGAATAGCAAACTAAATTCAGACAGCAGAATCTTTAGTGTAAGGAATGCTCTTTGATCCTGCTACAGTAAAAGATAGTGTTTTGACATGAGTGACTTAAACCCACTGTTGATTTCAGATCTTCTTAACCTGGTTTTTGGAATGCACTTTTAGAAACTGACAGAATATGACAGAATATGAATTCTGTATAAGCTATATGTATGTGATGTGTGGTTTTGTGTGTAAAATACACTCACATTTTCAAGATGATTCACATTGTTACGGACAATGTATTAGTGATATATAATCTCGAAGGAGCACGCTCCACACAGTGACGGCCACCTTTGCACAATTATAGGGAGTTGATAGAGTCAGTACTACGTGTGGCTGGTAATTTTCTCTTGGAGCAAAACCAATAACCTTTCCAAGGAAACTGCATAAGAAACTTCAGCATCTCTCATAGGTGTTGTATAGCACTCCTCTAACCCAGTGAAACAGTGTCGTAGACCCTCAGCAAGAGCAGAAGCAGTGGGCTGCCAGTCTGACAGGCAATAGTATCGCAAACAGTGCAGGTATGAAACAGTCCTTACCGTGGTACACCCTGCCAAAGTCTTGTAGTGGGGGATTTCACCAAAATAACTGATTGCTTCAGCCTAGAGAAGATGCCACTATTTCCTAGACGAGGTTGTGTGCTGCAGACTTACCTAGTGTAAGGAGTGAGTGGGTTTATTACCAGGGGGTCTGTCTTTGTTACCGCTAACACTTTGGATGGGGCACAAGAACTTAGTGCTTCCAGAGGTACTCTCTTTGCGGGACAGACTTGGTCTGTAAAAGCTAGGTCTTTTATATTAAAAATATTTTACATATATATATGACTTTGGACCCTTGAGAAAACAGTCTTTCTTTAAGCTACTGTAACTACTTTTTGTAGCTATAATCTTTAAAAAAAGGGGAAGCAAATTCTAAGCCCTAGCACACAGTGCCAGCTGACCACTGGGCTTTGCCATAATGTGACTGAGAAGAAGCACACACCGTGCAGTTGAAAACTGAAGTTCACTTTTCAATTAGTGCCAGTTAAAACTGCCATAACCGTCTTGACAATGTTAGAGAGCAAGAGCATGCCAGTTCCTTTTTCTCAAGTCAATAACTGCTCTTTAAAGCCTAACTCTGCATTTTGTCTACTGTTGTTATGTCGGGGAAGAGCTCTTCTCCTCCATGCCCTTCCGTTTTCTGGAGGCTAGAAGGGAACTAAACGGTGACAACAGCACGCCCGGTTATAACCTGGAAATTACTGTAATGTTCTTTTTCTAATACTTACTGTACAGATCTACTGGGGAACTGAACTGCTGAACTCAACTGTGTTCAGCTTTGACAGTCGTTTGGTGTAATTTTTCAGTCATTTGAGTTAATCACTAACCTTTGGAAATCTGTGTTGGTTTAGCTACTTGTAAGATTTAAGTTTTGAGTACATGCTCTGAGAAGGTGGAATGTTATCTGGTCCAATGTCCTCGGTTTTAGCTGTAAAGCGCTAAGTTAATGTTTAAGCTGTTCATTTTGAGTCATAGATGTAGTGGATCCAGCTAAAATAAACTTGTAAGTTAAACATACACGTTTAGTTTGGAGTTTCTCACTAAACATGTAGGTAAGACCTACTCTAGAAAAATCAGATACCAAGAAAAGGAAAATCAGGCTTCATGAATCTGAATGTATAGAGAGCATGTGGAATGTGTCTGTGCACATACTTTTTTTTTTTTTCCCCCTGTTCCAGTTAGGAAAAGGCTGAAAAAGCAGATGGGGGGGGGGGGGTAAAACTAGGTAACCTAAACTGTTACTTTATTTATAGAAGTTAGCAATTGTGTCATTTGCTCTCTTACTCAAGGGAATGTGCTTAGAAGGAAACATTCCTAGTAAGTGAGAACTGTTCTTGGCATCAGCAAGGCTCTGACCATAAGAAAGGCTTTAATTACACGGAAACTCAACAACCCAAAACATTAAACAAAAGTATTTGAACACAAAGTTTTTTGACCAGTTGAATATGAAAATTTGGCTATTGAACAAATAAGTACTTATACAGTGGAATTGAGGATACATTTGTCATAATGTCCTCAGCTTCGTGTCTGAGTGTTATGTGGCCTTGTAGATCTGAAAAGAGGTAATGTTGCGTACTTCACGCACTTCAGTTAGGAAAATACTGTGATTGGGAACGGAAATAGAAAGATGAACTCTAATTTGACAAACTTCAGAAAATTCTACTTAACGATGTAGAAGAAAGAGAAATTTAAATTGGCTACAGATAGATTTTTTTGTTTTGATGGAGGGATTTTGGTAGGAAGGACTTTCCAAGCTTTTTTGGATTTCTGAGTTGTGTTGTGCATAGTGAGGACATATTTGGACACATACCGTAATTAAAGCTCCTTCAGGAACTTTGGAATTTAATATGAACAAGTTTGCAGAAATGTAGGATGAATAGTAACAATAACATGGAGGAGTAGGAGTCGTCCACTGCAGTACTGTGAAATCTTAAGTTATCTTATGAATGCAAGTACAGATCTCTGTCCACATAGAATAAAAACATAACTGGCAGTGTTGGCACACCACAACAACTGATGCTCACATCTTTCAAGTCGTAACAGTGTCCTGTGTTTGGGATGCTTTAAATAAGTACATGGCTGCAGAGCTTCAACAGTTTAAAATCTGATTCAATAATAAATCAAAATCCTTTAAAGTTTCTGTTCTGATTTCCCCACTCTTCCATGTTACCAGATTTGACGAGAGAGGGATTGAAGTGTGGGTGTGGGTTTCTTTTATAATAATTCAGTGTTTCTCATACTCCAAATTATTGTACAATAGCAGATGTTGTTTCATTCCTTTCAGTAAAGGTCATATATGTTGTATCAGTAAGTTTATGAATACTTTCAGGGTTGTTTATTCAATAAAGGCTCTCTTTGCTGTTCAGCTGAACACACTATTTTGATAATGTGAAAGCACATTTATTTTTTTCCTGAGCCCATCAGTGGTTGTTTTATTGTGCAAAAGCACTTCTCAGACATTTTTGGTGGCCAAATAAATCCTTGTTTGACTGAACCCAGCTTCACAGAGGATGCTTTTATTACTATCCTGGATTAAAAGTAGTAATAATTATTATTATTACACTCTTAGCTTTGTGATGCCTTTATTCTTTTGTCAAGATCTAGTACAATATTGATACTAGTTCTGTGGCATCTCTTGCAGTCTTTTCTAGTTCAAGAAGCTAGGAACTTTCAGCATTAAATTTACTGCCAGCATGTGCTTTCTGGTGGCGGTGGGAGTGAGTGGGTAAAAAGAGTGAAGTGATATATGATAGTCAAGAGGAAGCACTCATACTGCTTCTTAGTCTGGTAAAGTATCAAGACACTTACTTGCAAAACGTCATTTTTTCCCGTCTCCCCCTTTTTCTTAGCCCAAAGGGCAAAACCATAAAAAGCGGGTCACTTGACGTACACTTGCTTGATTGCCACCTATTTGTATGAGGCTCATCAAAGCAGAATACACAAGTCTGTAAGGTGGCTCCAGGAAACATCAGAAGACTGGTTGAAAATTAGTCCAAAAGTGTAGATATTCTTACTTTGAAGTCTCACCAGTCCCTCTTTGAGACTTAGTGCATGAGTCTGACCTCCCTGTGAGACTTGGCTAAGTTAATGAGAAGGTGGTTTGGGACAGCTTACCATGGAACCAGATCGTTTAAACCTCCAGTGCTAGTGAAAGTCCAGCACAATAAACTAAATCTATGGGATGTGAAACTTTCTGAAACTTGTTTGTTTGGTTTTTAAGCAGAAATAAATAGAGTTGTGCTACTTGCTGTGTAATTCAGAAAAAAAAATGGATTGTGATTTAATTAATTTTTTAAAAGTATGCAAAGCAACAGAAATATATTAAACTTAGAAAACGTGCTTAAAAACTGAAGGGTATACTTTGAGATAAGAAAGCAAAAAAATAAAGTGAACTGATACTGGGGGGGGTTTATGTTCCGTCATTCGTAAGTGTTTTAAAATCTTTTGGTTTATGGGTTCTGCTAAGTTTGGTCATGGTGAAAGTTTTTAAATGACACAGAAGGTTTTGCAATAGAAAAGTCAAAGTTATTAATGTTTTGTGGGTAATAACGATGAAGATTAGCCATTTAGCCAACACTGAAGATGTAAATGCCTGAACAGAAGAGTACTTCTGTCAGCAATACCAAAATCTGCCAATGGAGGGTAGCAATAACCAGCCTTTACAAGTGACTTAATAGAACTTGTTTGTCTTGTGAAGCCTGAAAATTTGTTTTCATATACCCTGTTCTTGTGTTGCAGGTGCAGATATTTGGAAGTTTTAAAACTGGTTTATATTTACCTACAAGGTTAGTAACTTTTCAGTGTATGTTCTGTACAAGAGAAAAACTAGCCTGTGGAACCTGGACACCTGTCGTGCTTTATCTGATCTCCCAATATCTATGTTACTTGTGTGTGTGCTTGTTACATTAAGAAAGTGTTAAGCTGTTAGTACTCTGCAAAGTGTACAGAAATATAGCAATTAAGACTATTAAGTATAATACATGTCTCTATATAGATTTTGCGTGTATTGGTAAAAGATCCGAATCACCATGTTGTCAAAACCGGCTTACTGTGTGATTTGGCTTCATTAAATGAACCAAAACAAGAGGTTGGCCTTAAAAGAAAATCTGAATTTTATCTCCGCAGACAATTAAATTGAACCATTTAACGTTACCTTGTTAATGCTAATGTTAGCACCAAAGAGGAAAGATTGCATACAGAACTGTTTTTTCTGTCTTCTTTTGAGAAATCTGTACAATAGTCAACCTCTACCTTTTCCATATTTATTACTAGTTTTCATAAAGAAAAGTCATTATTCAGTGACACTGGTGTCTTCTGTGTAGAAATTGTAAGTATTTTTGACAGTTAAATAGAAATAGAATGAAAGGCTTAAATGGCTGCAGGGGATAAACACATTTAAATAGCGTAAGTCTGAGGTTAACACTTGAATTGAGTTCTGTACTTTGGGAACACGAGGAATTAATATCTAGTACTGACTGCAGGTGATGGATACCTGTGTTGTTGTTTCATCTCTTTTCGAAAAAGGAAGTATCAGAGAGATACTTGAGTAGCTGCTGTAGTCCAGGAAAGCTGAATTGCTCAGTTTGGAAAGTCGGAAGAAAGATGTACAAATACACATTGTTTTCACTTTTGGCCTTGTTCTTGGCCTTTTTTTCATTGATTTTAAATAGGCTTGATTAAACTTGGTTGAATGTTGATAATACAAGAAAGATATTCCTATCCACATGTCTGCTAGCAATAGTTATTTGCTATATTTGCTTGATTGTTTTGAAACTATTGTAAAAAAACGGCTTTGCTGTTGTCTGTCTCATTCCATATATTGCCTTTTCTCCATTTGTTTCAGCTGAGGTTTTGGGGGAGAACAAATGCTTCAACTTTAAAACTAGTACATAAACCCACGACAAACCTTCCTGTGGCAGTACTTGCCACACTTTCAGAATTACCAGCATTTACGTGTTGGTAATTAATTCACTATTGCCTTCTCGCAAAGCTTCCCTTTGCCCTAGGTTTTCCCCACCCATCAGTGACTGTATAATTAATTTAGATTTCACATTCTGGGATTCAGAAAGATGTACAGTGTGTTTTTAAGTCTGTCACTTTGTGTTAGAATTTGCCTTTTACTTAAGCCACTGTTGAAGGTGTGGGCACACGGTTGTTTAGCTGCTGGATCTCTGTGTTATTGTGCAGACAACACCACAGATGCTTTTTTTCCCTTGGTGTGCATCAGAAAAATGTCTCCCGTTGTTAACTGTCAGCAGCAGTAGTGGGTTTAACACTAATTTAGTCTAGAAGAGAAGTGTCCAGCAGCATTTCCTGCTCTCCAAGCGGGTTTTGAACGTAGCTTTCTGAAACTGGCTGAGTACTGCCTGTCCTTGTCAGCTGAATGGTATGCAGC